TTGTTAGTTTTTCCGGCGGTTGGCGGCCTATTCTTCGCATTACCGCCACCTTCTGTTCCGTGGATGGGTCAACACTCAGTTTGTGAAAAAATCTGCAGTCTTTTCTGTGCCATGCAAGCCCCGGCGATTCAAGATGGCGCCCTATTCAAATGAATGGTTGTGCTCAGTGGCGGCATGGGGGCTGAAAAGATTAGCGGAAGTTGCCTGAAACTCGCAAAGATCTATGGGAAACTCGCCTGTATTTGGGCATCGCCTGGTCCTCCCGGTTCTGTGCAGTGGATGATCTCCCATAATGCGTTGCGCCAAACACGCGTGTGTGGGTCTCACACCGGGTCTCACGCACGTGCACAGAGGGGCTCGGCCGCGCTCTGACCAATCAGAGCAGTTCATCAGAGCGGGAGTTAGAGCGAGAGCCAGAGGAGTAGAGTTTGTCGCACTAAAGTGTGGATTTGAACAAAACCGAAGGATTTAAGAAGAAAAAAAGTTCCGGATGACAAGGGACACTAAAATCCCCACAAAATCCGACCTTTATTAAAGCTGTAGGTTCTCTGTCAGCTGAGGTCGAGCTGTTTTAATATGCATTGAGTTCTATGGGGAAAATTTCTGGGTAGCCCACGTGAATTTAGTCTGGTTCAGTCTGCAGTACCGCGAGAATCCCCTGAGCACATGAGTTATTCAGCTACAAGCTAGTAATACCCTATCCAGTTAATATAATACATCCATGGTGCCATGCTGTTAGCAATGGGGGCTGGAGAAGTCTTCTTCGAGAGTTCCTGTTAGCTGCTGCAGCCGATGCTGCTGTCTTTGCTGCCCCCTGTGGGTCTGGGGGAGACGCTGATGGTCCGTGCTGATGGCACTCGATTGAGGTCTTGTGGCAGACGATTTTGGCCAAATGAAACAGACAGAAGTTTTCTCGGAAAAAAACAGACAAACAAGAAACACAAACAAGTGTGTTAATTACCATACAACCAATGATTAATTACAAATCTACATAAACCTAGGAAATAATTAATATTAACATTTTAAACATTAGATCCTGAAAACCGAATTCTGCATTCAACTGCTATCCTAAGCCCTATTTTTTCCAACAGTATAATGCTCTCTAAGATCATTCTAACTTTTATATCACCAAAATGTAGGAAAAAACTTGTCCAGACGCCTTGGAGATAAAAATAAAATAATGCCTCTTTATAATCTAACTCGAAGTTCTGTGATCATATGACTCCATGTCAGTAACATTATCGTGTGAGAGAGAGAGAGAGAGAGAGAGAGAGAGAGAGAGAGAGTGCTGTATGCTTCAAGCATTTCCCTCGTTTTTCTCGTGGCAAGGATTTAATCAGTGGTAAAAGTTTTTCTCACGTCAAACGACACTCTACATTTTATCCTTAAATACGTCAGTAATGGAAAACATTACAATTTGCTTACATGACTAATGCTGACTAGGTACAGCCGGATCTTTTTTTTTTTTTTAATACCTCTGTAACTATTGAAACATTACATCAGAATAAGAGAAAAACTTCCATAACTGATCATTCTGGTCATTTCTCCACATGGAAACTCGTATACTACAGCCAAGTGGCTCTCTTTTTTCCTCATTAGTCAGATCATTATTATCAGAATCCACATTTTAAATACTTGGCTTTTTTCTGTTTAAATGTACCCTTTTTCCCGCCCCCCGGGGGATATGGAGGTTTTATTATCCTATAACTTCTGACCCTAAAACTGTCCCTATTTCTCTAATTCTATTCCTATTTTTTTCACTAATACACTTGTGCCTCTCTGCACTTTAAGAAGGTGTGCCTCTTTTGCACTTCTAAACCCTGTGGACCTCTCATCTATGTTCTGTTTATTTTAGGAGGGACCAATTCTTCCCCCAAGGCTAAAAACGTCTAAACCTGACTATTGTTCTATCGCGTCCGATAGAACACCCGTCACGGCGGTCTGTCCACAACTGCAGTCTGGTGTTGGGCCGAGATCTCTCTGTCTTCCATTAAAAACAATGTGCAGATTCTCAAAAATATGATCCGCTTACCTTATAGAAGCGTTTTGCAGAGTAGAGAGTCCGTAAAACCGACACCAACCCAGTTTTTCTCTATATGAGCTCATCTTGCGTCTTCTTTCTGTATCAAATCACGTCGGGGTCACCATTTGTTGTCAGTAACAGATTTGACTGACGTGTTCAGAATTTGATACAGAAATAAGGCCAAGACTGCAAGAGTTAAAAATAGAACATTTTATTCCTCTTTACAATTAAATATTGATACAAAACTCTTTGAGCTCCTAAATTCCCTAAATCTAACCCTATGCTGAGCCATTCTAAACTGTCCCTCAAGGCCTGAAAATGTGCAGAGAATCATGCAGGCGCTCTGCCATGTTCTCTGTCTAACTGTCCCTGCTCAGACTGCTCAGAAAAGTCCTACCCCCAGTTTTATCAACATGTCCGATGACGTCACATGGTCTGAGACTGGTCTGGTCTCTGGTCAAGCAAACAATGCCCCCACCCGTGCGGCGCCTGTGTGTGGGACTTAGACAAACGCAGCTGCTGCGGGGGGGGGGCTGCGGGTGGTTCCATAGGTCAAAATTGCCACACATGTGTTTATTCTTGGAGTCAATAATTGTCTGGTTTTGTAAGCTGGTCATTTTTATGACTGATTGTAGTTTCTCCATTTGACCCTCTTTATTCCTGTTTGCAGTCCTTGTGTCCTTGGGGCTTTTCCCAGTGCACATTCTTCAGAGGGCCTGTTTTCAAAATCATTAGTAGACAACATTTTAATTCTACAACAATAGTCAAAATAATCAGAGTCCTTGTACAGTCCTGCACGTAGGCCATATTGCTATCTAATACTAACAATAACACAAAGATAACCGTGGCCAACACTGCTGGTCGCTCTGTAAACAGCTGGTTGTTGCGCACAAAAGGTTGTCTTGCCAAAAAATAAAGCTCGCGCATTATAATCTTTAGAGTAGCGGGTTTTAAAAACAGACTTAATTTAAGACATAACTCCGATTCATATTCACAAGACAACCATGACTAAACAATTTGCTAATCAAAACGCACTTGCTAGCCGCTAATAGGCCTATAGCAACTACGATCAACACTATAAAAATGAAGAAAGCATAAGATATGGTGACTGTACAGATCACTTATCGAGCCAAGAGGTAAAAGCAGTACTTACTGTAGAGAGCCAACGCTTATCAGCTGCAGATGTGCTTCTTCTCTAGCAGGACTAGCAACATTAGCGCCGTTAGCAGACAGACAGGCTGCATGAAGAGAGGGAACTGCGCCACCAACCAGCTTCACTTGGCTGGAGGTTTTGAAGCCCATCTCCATTGCCATCCGATCACTGCTCACATAATCCTCCTGTTTGAAGTGTGCCCCACAAATCATTGTATTTCTGGTCACAGACGCCGAAGTAAAGTCTTTCCTCTTCGCCTGAACAAAGCGCACCCTGGCACGGAAAGTAGAGGCACTTTTTTTCTTGTGAGGAAAAAAATGCATTCGATGACCAGAATTACTACTGTTAGAACAGCCCCCGCATGCACAGTAATTCACAATTTTGGGGAAAAAAAGAGGCTAAATTAATTTTACAACAAAATCTTTCGATTCTTGGCGGGCAGCAACCGAGAGCAAAATCAGCAAAGATGTTCAGTAAGTAACGCGCCAAGTCCAATGGCCAAGTCCTACAAGCCCCACAGGTACGTCACGTGCACGTGACTAACAACTGCGGAAGTCTATCCACTGAAGGTTAAATTTTTGCATATTTTGCTTTACAAACACCGTTTATGGTACTTTAAAAAATATTTCACTGTTACTCGGGCAATAAGAAAACGGATTAAACACGAATTTCATATTATTTTTTATCTGACATATGCACTTTAAGCACAGGTCAGTTGTAGTTGTAAGCAAAGGTTTTAGATTTCCCACCAGCAGAGGGCGCCACACAGACACTGTCCTCTGAAAACACTTCTTTTTACACATTTATACATTTCATTTTTATTTTACATTGAAAACATAATTGAAATATCACAAAATTATACCAGAGATATTTGTGACGACCTATTTTATTCTCATCCATTTTCTACTTAATGTTTTCTGTTATAATGAAGTATTTTTAAAACATGAATCTGTTTTATTGAAATGATACTTTTCAATAGTTTTACAATCGTAGAAATATTCTCTTCTCCACAAATGTGCTCATCCATTCATCAGTTTTTATTCACATTTAATATTCTCTAAACGTTTCTTTGAGTTATTACAAAATGACGGATAAACACTCGACCGAAATGAATCCGTTCTTTGTGTTTGTATCAAATTCCTGTTTTCATTTATTATTAAGTTACATTTGAACTTGTTAGAATCACAGTCATATTTAGAGTTCTCTTTTCTTCTTCCCCAACATTCTTCTCACTCCTCATTGTACGCACACATGTTTAATCCAAAAGCTTTTATCCAGGTATTACAAAAACACACAATAAAACTCATTCATTTGCATCGTTTTTGACTCTTTCCACTTTCTCCAACATTCTCATTCACTTTATAACATTTGTTTACATTTGTCAATCAGTCAAATCTTCCTCAAACATTTCTAAAGCCGACAGTTGTTTCAGAAACTCTCTTGATAATCACATTAACTTGTTCTTTTTAACATATTCATAATCGTCATTTCTTTCCACTGTTACCAACATTCTCATCAACCGTTCGTTTATCTGAACATTCTCTCATCAATAATAACTTGTTTTTAGCTGTAACAGAATGACTCCTATAGATTGAAATAAACTCACTCTATTAAAACATAACATTTTCTAATATATATATTTTTACATTATTTTCTTCGGTTTATAATAGCGTTTATAATAAAGTCTCTCTTTTTCGTTCATCTCGGTCGGACACTGTCTCCGTTTCCGTGGCGACGGCTGTGGCAGTGAAGCAGCAGAGTTTAGTGTTTGTGACTTTAATTCAATGACGTCTGTTTTTCTCAGGGACACACATTCTCCAGAGGATGTACGGCTGTGAATGGGACGATGAGACCGGTGAAGTGAATGGATATGAACAAGATGCATTTGATGGAGAAGATTTCATTGTGTTTGACCTGAAGACACTGACATGGATCGCACCGAGACAAGAGGCCTTCATCACCAAACTCAAGTTGGACAGTGATGAAGGTTATAAAGCCTATAATATAAACTACTACACCCAGATCTGTCCTACGTCGCTGAAGAAATACGTCAGTCATGGAAAGGACGCTCTGATGAGGACAGGTAATCCACTGACCTGGTTCAGTTTTTAATGATTACTCTAATAATTCAAACTCCTCTGACGAACTCTGTCTCTGTCCTTTTGTGCTGCACATTTTCAACTTTGAAACTTGAAAAACTGAACATTTGAAATATATTTAAAGTTTTTAACGTTCAGACAAATTCACAATTTCATAATAAATTCATTTGATTCATTTAAGTAATTTGACCATATTTCTGGAATAATTAATCAATTAAACGCACACTGATTGATTCTCTGATCTGTTGTTGAGGAATCGACAACTTTGTAAAGTCCTTTGAGACGACTGCTGTGATTTAGAGCAATACACAAACATTTTTGTTCATGTTGAGAAACAAAAGCATCTTTTCAAATCTGATTTTACTCTGAGACAACATTTAAAATACTGTAAAACACATTATTAGGATTTGAACATGTTTTAAATGAATATAAATAAAACAATCTTTATTGGTCCCACAGTGGGACATCTCAGTGTTGCATATTGTTTCTGCACGTGGACAGTAGTATCACAAGGAACACTCAGAATAAAACATAAATCAGATAAACACAATCCACAGCTGTAATACTGAGAATCATTTAAATATTTTAGCTTCAAAAGAATAAACTTTAAAACTATAATTTCACTGAGGACAAAGTATAAAGCTCCTTAAACATTTAGTGCATTATTCATTTCAATTCAATTTATTTGTGTATCGCCCTAAATCACAACAGCAGTCGTCTCGGAGGACTGTACAAAGTTGTCGATTCACCAACAACAGATCAGAGAATCATGCAGTTTGAACAAAGGCCATGCAATAATAACATTATGAATTATGAACTATTAGTAGTGTGGGTTCAGTCTAATATTTACAGTTTCTCAAACAGAATCATCATAAATCTCAATTCAAAAGTAAAATAAACAGATTCAACATTTTAATTTGAAGACATCCTGTTACTGTCTGATTTATTCTCAATGTTTGATTTTACGAGGCTCTTTCTGTGGAGATAAATAAATGCATGATTTACTTATTCAGGAAACAAAAGTGAGGTTCCCCAGCTTTAAGGAACTGGGATAAAATGCATTTATTTCCACTTCTAACCACGGCTCATTGATGGATCCTTGTTTGAAGTGAATGTGTCATAAACGTTCAGATAAAAACACTTTCCACACATTAGACGTTAAGTTTAAAGACAGATCTGTTCTTTTGTTTGAAACTTAAAAACAAGTATCACACAGTTCAATAGAAAGCAGTCCCTGGTTACATGAATAAAATACACAATAACACGTAAAACAACATGAGATACTTTTTGAGGCATTGCTACTGAGTTATTGTTCTAAAAATATTGTGTTTAAGATTAAGATGAAGAGATCTTTATTCGTCCTACAGTGGGGAAAGTTACACAACAGTAGGAATGAGGGACACACAACACAAGTGAATATTAACAATCGCACACCTCTTTAATACTATTTTTGTTTTATCTTCACAAAGAAACAAAGTATGAAAAGTAACCTAAATTCCCTGCGTCCTCTCCCAGTCCTCCCGTCCATCTCTCTGCTGCAGAAGTCCTCGTCGTCCCCCGTCACCTGCCACGCCACTGGTTTCTTCCCCGGCCAAGCCTCTATCTTCTGGACTAAAGATGGAGACATTTACTACGAGGGCGTGGACTTTGGGGAGACCCTGCCCAACAACGACGAGACCTTCCAGACCAGTGTGGAGCTGGACGTGTCCTCTGTCCCATCGGAAGACTGGGGCCGCTACAACTGTGTGTTCAGGCTCTCTGGATACAAAGAAGAGATCATCACACGACTGGACAAAGCCGCGATCAGGACCAACGGTGAGACTCGGGTTCATGATGTGTGTGGTTTATGTTTGTTCTGTAGCAGTCAGTAGGGATGGGACAAGATCTGTACCACAAGATCCAAGATTCCATTCAGATAAGAACCGATTCAGAAAAAACTGTCTGTTCAAATTGGTTAGAATGGGTTTAACGCTGGCGAGTTGAACCTTGTGAGAAGCTGTAGTCCCTAAAATCAAAGATATTACACATAATAGATCATGTAATGTGGGGTCAATGTTTCTTTCAATAATAGATAAACGTTCACAGAATTCACTTGATTATTATGATTTACTCAGACAATAGAATATATATTTGTCCCAAAATCTTGTGTCTCATCTAAAATTTAATTTTTTTGATTGCATTTAATTCAATCTCTCCACGTGGGATAAATAAAGTAGATACATGAACAAAACAATTGATACAAAAGTGCAGTGGGAAAACCTGATAGACTGCTAAATATCTTTGTCAGTCTCACAGTCATTTGAATTTGGCTCTAAATTTATCAGAAATGATCTCCAATGGTTTTCTGATGCACTTGTTGTACATCTTTAAAACATTTAGTAACATTAAAATTGAGTAAACACATGCTAAATTCAGAAATAGAGGCAACTGAAGTCAAAAAGACAAAGCGACGTAAATGAAGGTGTTAGTATAAATCCAGGTGTTTTGGTGAATGTTACGAAGGAAGTGCATCCAAATCACTGTTTCCCAAAAGTATGTAGTAGTAAGTAAGTAATGTTTATTTATAAAGCGCATTTTTACAGACCAAGGTCACCCAAAGCACTTTACAATAGTTTACTGCAGCATCCAGGTTTAAGTCAGAGATTTGATCAAAGATTTAAAACATGTAAAGATGATTAATACCATTGTTCTGTGATCTTTACCTTTGACAGAGAAGCCCACCTCTTCTCTGATCGTCACTGTTGTTGTGCTCGGTGTCTGTGCCGCTGTCGCTGCTGCTGCTGTGGGGTTTTTCATCTACAAGAAGAAGAACGGTAAGACCTACATTTATTTCATTGTCCGTGTTATAGCTGGGTTTTATACTCCTATTCTTAATGAGTCCTATTTTTGTTACAGCCAAGCGCCCTCCAACCCGTGAGTCTCTTAAATTATACTATATTATAAACTTTTTTCTTTTATATCTTCAATAACATGACTAACTATGTTGAATCTTTGCAGCTGTGAGCGATAGAGAAGTCGAAGAGGAGCTGAATCCAAAATGAGTAAAAAACATTTCATTTATAATTTTACATTAAGAAATATCTGTGTAGACTTAAACGTGGGGTACATTACTACATACTTCGGGGTGGTCCTGTTTTTCACTTTTCTGTCTGAAAAAGCTGATCTAAAGATGTGACAAAGGCCAAAAACATGTGAAAACTAGAGACAGATGCAAACTCTTTTAGAGCAAGGAACGAGTTTTATGGATTTTATTACGTAGTGAAAATGTTTAAGAATTGAAAGTTAGGTTCCCCAGCTTTAACATCATGTGTCTTATCTTCAAGTGTTTTAGAACCTAATGGCTAAAGCACCACATTCACACACTGCCCTGTTTGAAATGCTAAATTCTTATGTTTCATTTTGTTTCTCTTTCTCAGGTCTTAAATCGCTGTTGGGAGGAGAGGGGAATTCCAGTTGGACACACGTCATTCTTGGATGTCATACACTTTTACAAACCTGGCTTTCATGCAATACTGTATTCTAATTTAAGTTTCAAATCACACCAAGTTTCAACAAATGCATCTTGTTTTTGCTCATTTTAGTCAAAGCATCATTTGTGGCATTATTAAGTTTATACACATGAGGGACCATAGTGTTTTCTGGTGAAGGGGCTTTTTATAAATGTTTAATGTTGTCAGTTTGATCACAAATACATTTACATTGAATATCAAATCTACAATGGAACCATATTAATATTAACCTGGAGGGCAGACGATACAAAAATCTATATTTTCTCTTACAATAAAGTGTCATTGAACTAAAGCCGTCGTAGATACATAGAACTAAATGTAAAAATGTGGATTCCATTTCACAATTTTCAAAAAATATTTTGTTTGATATTATGTGAACAAACATCATCTGAAAATAAGAACAGGACGATTTATTTCTTCCTTTGTAAACAGTGCAAACATGAAGCACTCTAAAGATACACATGAGATATGTAAATATATTTGTTAGATATTATTTTATTACAGTCATAATATTATAATGAGGCGTGACTTAGATTTTAATAGATATTTTGTGATATTTTGTTGCTTTAAATCGTTTTTTTTTTTTATCTGGAAGTGCACTGCTTTTTATCTTTTTCCTTTGTTCTGCTGCTTGTATTTAAATAAAAAGGTCTTACTTTAATAATGACTTCCATATTTGATTTCTCTGTCACGCTGTGTGCTGTATGTTCTAATGGGAAGAATCAACAACATGAGAACTGAATCTCAGCTCATAGTTTGGCTTGTTTTGCTTAATAATGAATGACTCTTATAGTGCACTAAAACAGCCTCCAGCGAGTTACTTTCAGAATCATCTTACTGGTTTCATACTTCTGTATTTCAGGGTCAAAGGTGCACTATCATTTTATAAGTATTTAAGGGCCCTCTGTGTATTAAGGGTTAATTTATGGGTTATTTGCACACATCACCAAACACACGCAGTCACATGACTTTGCCACAGCTTTCTCCTTCCTGGTTGATCTTAAACCAGTTCATCCTGTTCAGCAAAAACCAGAGACAAACTTTTGGCAAATGCAATCTTTATTTCTGGTGGTCAGTAAATAAAACAGTGGGTGGTTTAACCAGTTGTACAAACAGCCTGTTTTGGGATCATGGGCAATAGACAAGTTTCTTGTTGGACTTTAGAACATGCCTTTCTTATAGCGGTGGATCAGCTCAGACACATCCTCTTTACACACTTTAATCCAGCCGTCCTCCTGCATGTGATACACTGGACACACAAACAGACATGTTTTATAGCAATGTTTTTACTTTAGATATTATAATGAGCCACAAGTGCTTCAAAGATTATCTGTGCGTGTTCGCGTGTGTGTGCGTGTACACAATATATCTACCTCATTAATGATTTAATTATTCAATAGTGTTACTTTTAAATGTAAATTACAACAAATATTCTATTGTTTTTGTGACTTGTAATCATGTTGTAACTTCTCAATGTTTTGAGAAACATTACTGTTCACATGTACATACACAGTCCGTCCGTCCGTCCGTTTTCTTCCGCTTCATCCGTTGCCGGGTCGCGGGGGCAGCAGTCTAAGCAGAGACGCCCAGACTTCCCTATCCACACACACTTCCTCCAGCTCGTCCGGGGGGACCCCAAGGCGTTCCCAGGCCAGCTGAGAGACATAGTCCCTCCAGCGTGTCCTGGGTCTTCCCCGGGGCCTCCTCCCGGTGGGACGTGCCCGGAACACCTCCCCAGGGAGGTGTCCAGGAGGCCTCCGGAACAGATGCCCGAGCCACCTCAACTGGTTCCTCTCGACGTGGAGTAGCAGCGGCTCTACTCCGAGCTCCTCTCGTGTGACTGAGCTCCTCACCCTATCTCTAAGGGAGCGCCCAGCCACTCTGCAGAGGAAGCTCATTTCGACCGCTTGTATCCGCGATCTCGTTCTTTCGGTCATTACCCAAAGCTCATGACCATAGGTGAGGGAGGGAACGAAGATTGACCGGTAAATCGAGAGCTTTTCCGTTTGGCTCAGCTCCCTCTTTACCACAACGGTCCGATACAGCGACCGCATCACTGCGCACGCTGCACCGATCCGCCTGTCAATCTCACGCTCCATCCTTCCCTCACTCGTGAACAAGACCCCGAGATACTTGAACTCCTCCACTTGAGGCAGGACCTCTCCACCCACCTGAAGAGAGCAAGGCACCTTTTTCCGGTCGAGCACCATGGCCTCGGATTTGGAGGTACTGATTCTCATCCCAGCTGCTTCACACTCGGCTGCAAACCGTCCCAGTGCATGTTGTAGGTCGTTGGAGCCAACAGGACAACATCGTCCGCAAACAGCAGAGATGAAATCCTGTGGTGCCTGAACCGGACCCCCTCCGGCCCCTGGCTGCGCCTAGAAATTCTGTCCATGAATACAGCAGAACCGGTGACAAAGGGCAGCCCTGGCAGAGGCCAACATGCACCGGGAACAGGTCGGACTTACTGCAGGCAATGCGAACACAGCTCTGGCTCCGGTCATACAGGGACCGAACAGCCCTCAGCAGAGGACCCCAGACCCCGTACTCCCGGAGAACCCCCCAAAGAACACCCCGGGGAACACGGTCGAACGCCTTCTCCAAATCCACAAAGCACATGTGGACAGGTTGGGCGAACTCCCATGAACCCTCGAGTATCCGATGGAGAGTATAGTCCAGTGTTCCGCGGCCGGAACACTGGACCAGGTCTATAGTGGACATACACAGGTCTATAGTAATAGTAAAAGCAAAAGAAATTTGAGGCTAAGTCATTACTGAAATATAGACATAAGTTCATGTTTTCTTTAACTTCAAATCCAAATGCATGTTATTACCTCTGTAATGTGTCTATTGTTTGTGATTTATAATCCATATAATCCATTCTCCACTCTCCTGATCACTTGAATATCATTGGTGTATAAAGTCAGTACAATTATGATGAAGTCCTGTTTTTCTTCCCGCAGGGCCTCACATTGTCCAGAATATGTACGGCTGTGAATGGGACGATGAAACTGGGAACGTCAACGGCTTCAGTCAGTTTGGCTTCGATGGAGAGGATTTTATTGTCTTTAATCTAGAGACTGAGACGTGGATCGCACCGAGGGCAGAAGCCATGTTCACAAAGATTAAATGGGACAGGGACGAGCTGAAGATCCAAGCTCAAACTCAAATTTGTGTTGAATGGATAGAAAAGTACCTTAATGATGGAAAAGAACAGCTTTTAAAAACAGGTAAATGAAGTTTATGCACATGACTTGTTTAAAAAGTCATTCAAGAAATACTGTAGATATAAAAAATAATATAATGATTAAACAGTGACACCCAAAGTGTTTTCTGTTTTGGATATTTTAATCACAGAGACATGAAGTGTAATATCAATCTAATCAAATGTATTTAAAAATCGGAATTCATGTAGCAAAACTCAACTTGTTTTACAAAAACATGATAATCGTACACAATCACAAACATTATAAAACTTTTTAAAGTCAAAATTTAAAGCATATTCATAAAAATCACTGTTAATTGTAACATGTACAATGTTACAGTAATAGTAACACTAGAAAATAGAATACTAAAGACAAGAATAATAACAACAGGCTAGAATCAGGTTCTCTAGGTTCAGCTCGGAGGAAAAATGGGCTGCTCAATGAACCACACACAACAAATATATTGAGCTCAGTTGTGTTTAGTTATTGTACAGTCAAGTCATATATACATTATTTACAATTTGTTCACATGTTGCTGCCTGTATTTGCACCTATTTTTTTATTGTATAGCACTAAGCACTTTACGGTTTTATTGGTATGGATTACGGTTCACTGTAAATAACAATATTTATACCATGTCATTCGCTAAAATTCCACTGCTTTCCCTTAATAGTATTTTATTATTGTAGGAATATCTATTATATGCCCTACCCCTTAAGCTCACGTGATTTCTGCTTTAAATATATCCTTCCAGGGATAATCAGAAACAGGTGTGCAGGATAGAGGCCTTTTTTTCCCGGCCAGGCTGTGTGCGGGACCTGGTGTGTGCGACTCTTGGCCTGTTCTTATTCTTATTTTTCTTTTGGGACCGAAATCAAATATAAAACGAACCCTTTGTACTCAATGGTCATTTTGAGGGGGCAACAAAATCCTGGTGTTTCTGCTCGGTTGCTTTAGGTGTATAAAGCATCTGGATCGCTACTGCATTAACTCACTGCTACGGAGTTCGTGTGTGGATTTAAATCGTGAGTGGATTTAATTGCTACTACGAGACGCCAGCACGGAGTTATCGGAGAGCTGAGGCAAGCCGCACCGAGGAGGACAGAACTATTCATCACAAGTCTCAACCAAAGCAGAGGTAAACTCTCCAACGATGCCAGACTTAAATCAACAAGTGTCCGATGGGGAAAATATGTTGGAGGAAATCGAGGGAAAGTTACTTACCTTACCTGCTGTGGGACTTATTGACATTTGCACTACACTCGGAATTACTGTCACTGGAGATGCGCGCTCACCTCGCAAATTGAGGAGGATTATTCTGGCGCATCTGGAGAGTGATGATGCCACATCGCTAGAGGATGAAGAAATGTCCATATTATTAGAAGTAAATGATAGGATCGATGAACTGAGGAAAGCTACTTCAACGTCTGGTTTCAAGTCACCACACCGCCCTCAAGTGGACAGAGCCGGTACTGTACATAACCATGGACCTGTGATAACACAACCCACCTCTACCACTGTTTCTGGTGCTAATGTGTCTGAAAGGACTCAACCTGTTGTTCACCCAATGTACAGGAAGGACTTAAAGATTAATGGACAGATTGGTGAACATAATCAGAAAGATAAGCTGGGATATGCAAGTTTGGAGAGACAGATTACAAAAGCTTTAAAGAAAGGATATGATGAATGTGAGATTGTTGATGCAGTAATTCAAGCTATTGTCCCAGGCACAAAACTAAAGAGCTATCTTGAGAATAGAGATGAACTGTCCTTACAAAATCTGAAACAAATATTACGCACTCATTTTGTTGAAAAAGATGCCACGGAGCTGTATCACTCCCTCACACGTGTTGCACAAGAACCTAGAGAGACTCCAGTCCAGTTCTTAGTCCGAGCGATGGACCTGAGGCAGCAAATAACACTTTGCTTCAGAAAGGGCAGACGTTGGATTACAGTACAGCCCAGAACTCATTCAAAACCAGTTCCTACAAACCATACTTACTGGACTCCAAGACGACACCATCCGCACAGATTTAAAACCATATCTGCAAATTACAAATGTGCCAGATGAAGTCCTGCTGGAGAAGATGACTGCTGCCTATAATCTGGAGATGGAGAGGAAGAGCAAGCTGGCAGCAAAATCAAGGGTCAAGGTGTCAGCAGTGAGTCATGATCCACATTTAACAAATTCTGAGAATTGCAGTCTTGACAGCATCCCTAAAAATGATAAGAAACAAGAACGATCACATAAACGTGACACGTTAATGGAAAAAGTGGAACAAGGGAATAGAGCGATCTGTGAAGCCATTCAAAACCTCACCACGCAGCTGCCAGGCCTGCATCGGCCCCCCAGATCACCAGCACCACAGGGACAGGGTGACCGCAGCTACAATAGACAATCACACAGGACACGCCCAAATCGACTGTGTCACCAGTGCCAGCGGACCAATCCAGAAGAGAGATGCGACCACTGCTACAAATGTGGGAGTGTAGATCACTGGGCCGTTGGCTGTCGCAGAGCACCCAGAAATGCTTCAGCCTACACTAATAAGATTGAGAGCAGTGTACATCTTGGTAAGAACACCGATCTATTGTGCACTACAGCACCCCTCACTGGCAAACAACATCAGACAGCTAAACTAGTGGGGAGGAGGTGCCTTGTTCGAGCCACAATGAACCATGTTGACACCAGAGTGCTGTGGGACACTGGCTCTCAAGTCTCAATCATCGGAGCAGAGTGGAAGCAGACACACTTACCTGATGTTACAGTGAGGCCTGTGGAGGAGTTACTGGGGGAGGGACTAGACCTGTCTGCGGCAAATGGGACACAGATCCCCTACCAAGGCTGGATTGAAGTGGAATTTACACTGTGTAAAAATGCTGTGGCTGGGATGAGCGATAAACCTGTGCTTGTCCCAATTCTTGTAGCTTCTTCCGAGCTTGAGCGTCCAATTATTGGATTTAATGTGATTGAAGAGCTGGCGCTGACAAGTGGGGACTCTGAGAGCTGTCTCCCTGCCGGTCACATGATAAAGAGACTCTGTTCAGCATTCGAAGTGGGGACCAAAACTGCCAGAGCTGTTTTAACAGTTTTAAAGAAACGGCCACCTGAGAACAATTCCCACATTGCTCGTATGGGTAAAATACCAATCACTGTCCCAAAGAATAGTACAATCCAAGTGCAATGTAACAATGTGACAATGGGTGCGCTTTGTGGACATCGAGTCATGTTGGAACCCAACCCAGAAACACCGTGGCCAACAGGACTCAAAGTGAGAGAGCAGCTGCTTGAATATCCACAGGCCAACACAAGGATTAGAGTGACTGTTGAAAACGCCACAAACTCTGATATCACACTGTATGGCCGCACAACACTGGGCTGGTTACATAATGTTGATGCTGTCTATCCATTGGAGCCCAAGTCCTCAGAGTGTCAGCCACCAGGGGTCAGCACCACATCATCACTAGAAGGGGAGCCCTGGCGCAGAGTGCGGGAAATGCTAAGGGAGGAGTGTGACGCGTTCTCCAGAGATGAGTGGGACGCTGGCTGTATTACTGGCCTACAGTTGGACCTAAGTCTGAAAGACCCTGTTCCTGTTCAAAAAACATAACTCCATTCCACGACATCTGTATCAGGAAGTCAAGTCTCACATTCAGGACTTGTTAGACAGAGGCTGGATAACAAAATCATATTCTTCCTACTCGTCACCTGTAGTTTGTGTCAGGAAAAAGGACGGCTCTCTCCGCTTGTGCGTTGACTACAGGCTGCTGAATGAGAAGACTCTGCCAGACCGCCATCCCATCCCCAGGATCCAAGAAATCCTGGAAAACTTGGGAGGGAATTCCTGGTTTACTGTCTTAGACCAAGGCAAAGCATACCACCAAGGCTTCATGGGTGAGAAAAGCAGAGCATGCACCGCTTTTATTACACCTTGGGGTCGCTATGAGTGGCTCAGAATCCCATTTGGACTCTCAAATGCCCCGGCTGCTTTTCAACGCCACATGGAGGGATGTCTGGGAGACCTCAGGGATGAAGTCTGTGTGCCTTATCTGGATGATGATGAGGCATAACAGTGACCCTTATACTAACATAATTAGCGTAAATAATGGTTTAGATGCCTACCTGCAACAGCTCTAGCACTCGAGTCCCACACGGCTAATACTTCTTCTTCTTCTTCTGTAATTTTATGGCGGGCTACGAATCAGTATAGTAGTAGTATGCCGCCACCTACTGTATCAGAGCGTAATACTCTGCCCTCCATGCCTTCTCCTGATTAAGCCCCTCTCCCAAAATACCCTCCATGCTCCACTCCCGCCCTGCTTCTATCACTGAGCCCTTAAAAGCATCCCTTTGCACACTGTACTTTTCACATTTCAACAGCACATGCTCAACTGTCTCACTTGCATCACACATGTCACACTTATCTGTAGCAGACTTATTTATTCTAAACAATGTTGAGTTCAGTCCTGTATGTCCGAGCCTTAGGCGGGTAAGTGCTGTATCGTTTCTCCTGTGATAACTGGCAGGTGTTAATCTATAAGCTCTGACACTCTTTTTGATCCCGTACAAATGTCGTCCCTTAACATCATGGTCCCATATCTCCTGCCACACTGCAACAATGCTCTGATTTATTACACTTTTTATCTCTGATCCTCCAAATGGAATTGCAATAATATTCTCTTCTCGAAGTGCTCTTTTGCCAGTTTATCTGCCACATCATTCCCAAAAATATCAACATGGGCAGGGATCCAACAAAACTGCACTTGGATACCCATCTGTTGTAGATTCAATAGCATCACATTTACTTCAATAATCAAATCATTTCGACAAGTCATTCCTGAAGTCAGACTTTGCAGCACTGCTGCAGAGTCTGAACAGATAACCACCCAAAGCGGCTTCACTTCCTCAACCCATTGCAGGCCAAGTATTATGGCGAACAGTTCTGCAGTGTACACTGAAAGATTGTTCGTGAGTCTCTTTGAGAAGCATTTTTCAGACTTTGGAATGTACACACCCACTCCAA